TTAAAGGGTTAATTTTAAAAGCAGTTCCAAAAGTCACTTAAGGAACTCATTACTCTTCTTCATATATACAATGTTAATGCTATTCAAAAGAGATCTTCATTGTTTGTATGAAAATTGAATTGAACACAGGTTATGAAAAAAATGCGTTAAAAGATGTAATGCGGGACATAGGCAGAACACAAAGCATACATTTCCATTAGTTCGTATATTCAGCCATATCACTTGAATATATTCTCATAGAAGAGCTTTCTATAAAAATAAGTATTTTTAGCTATTAAAGTGTCATTTAAAGTTTATACACTACACTGTAATTTTGATAATTCAAAATTCATGGAACAGATGCAAAGTAGGTACTTCTCTGATGCTAATTAAACAGCATGCTCAAATGTTATTTCCTGTAAATAGAAGCACCTCTTCCTTTTTCTCCAAATAATGATCATCAGGGTATACTCATAATTTAAAAAAAAAAAAAAAAAGTGGGAAAGAAGACACAGAAGAGAAAAATAGTAAGGACAGTTTAAAAAAGATCTGTGCACTTAACATTTTCAAAACCTTCTAATTACACAAAATACTAAAATTAAGAGAGAGAATAAAGACTGAACAGAATGTTCATAAAATACCCCTAGCTGCTGGCAAAGATTTTATCATCATTTAATGATGATGAAGCCAAATAACTGTTGCTGGAATGGAAGCAGGCTGATGAAGAAGGCTTTCAAACAGAAGTGAGGGATAGCGCATTTTATATTTTTCTTAGTAGTTCTTCTATCTTTACAATTTCTCTCTAAATTTCATTACTTTCTGTATTAGATGTCCCCTTCAACAGATAGTCATGTGTTGATCAAAAATGTGATATATTGCTTTAATATGCCTGCATCCTGTTGTATGTTAAATTGTTTGTTCATACAGCCAGCAAGTTCTAAGCAGTTCACAAAATATCAGAGGATCAGGAATTAATAACAATGTTAACTTTGAGGAGAAATTATCTTGTTGTGGAGAAAACTTTTCTGGTATTTGATCTAATTTGTGCAAGATCCGACAGAAGCACTCAGCTAACTTAAATAAACACACCGTGTGTTAAAAACTGTTAGCACATACTGAATACTTACATTATTTGAACACAAAGTACATTAAGTTTAACAGTACATTAAAAAAATGAATAAGGTATTTATTAAGCATGAATCAGTTCTAGAAAGCATGGTATGAAGTAACTAACAATTTTCATAAGGAAGGCAAAAAGATACACAGTATGATGATTTGTGGACATAATGAACTGGACATGTTTTGTTCCAGTTAAAAGACAAACAAATGAGTGTAATTAAAAAACTGCTAAAAGCACAGTTTTTGCATTTAAAAATAAGACATGAATTAAACTTACTTAGATGTGTTTAGTATGTTTTTAGAGAGACTTAATTTTTCTTCATTCTTCATCAATAAATTTTCATTTCAAATATTTTTTTTTTATTACATACACTATTGAAATAATGCCCCTACGTTACTGTCCACAAACACATTTCAAAATTCTTCCAGTAAATAAACAAGTAAATAAGTCTGTTTGCCATTCCCAGGTTGCTATCCAGCTAATTAAGCATGGGTCTAGGGGTAATTCCATTATAATTTATAAATGATCCAGGAAGTAAATATGTGTGTGCATATATACATAAACATACATATACCAAGAGTTACTCTGTCTACAAACACACCAGGATGTACCCTTGCTACATATTAAATCAAATTTAAAGACTATTTTATGAGATATTTTGCTTTCATCAGAGATTTTAAAAAAGACAACAAAAACTAAAAGAAAAAAAATGTTTTCCATTCAATTTACCAATTTCTAACAAGAGTTAGATATCTATGGTTATGGGTGTATATATGTGAATGAACGAATAAATCCTTAACCCACCATATCTTTTTCTCCAGTTTGCAAGCTGTCACCCGTGAAAAGTATGGTGTAGATGGTAGGATGATACTGTACCTGATTGGCTCTGGAGGTGGTCATGGGATCAGATGGAGAGGACTTGGTGGTAGTTGGGGAAGATGGCAATGTCTGGGAACAAAGCAGTTCAGGAGCAAATCAACCTTTACAAGCCTTAGACTGAACAGTTAAAAAAATAAATAAACCAACAAAAGTAACATAACTAGAAAATTAAAATAAATAAAAAATGCCTAAGACAAAATCTTTCTCCTACTCATTGGAACTTAATGGAATTTAAAGTCAATTGGATAAATAATGCATGTAAATATGCATGCTTATGCATGTAAAAACAAATTCATGACTTGAAATCAAGATGGTGAACTCACATAAATACTCAAAAATATGCTGACCACATGAGGAATATATTCTTTCCTCTCTCCTCCTCTTGGGCAAAATGAAGACTATAGTAAACACAAATTCCAGCAAGTTCAATGAGCACACTAGAAACAGTTCTCAGTCTACAGACAAACAGGGCTAACGTCTGAAAGCAGTTAGAGACATTTACTTTGGCACCTTATAATGCACCATTCTACAGTACGGACTATAGCCAGCAAACTATGTTCCATCTTACAACAATTATGCTGAAGCTACTCAATTTTTATCGATATACTAACTGCTAAAATATTTATTGATCTTTTTTAATCAAGAGGCAGGTGAAAAAATGTAAACATCAATCTCATGATGGATGAACATGCAACTAATAACTTCACAACGAATTACTACAATATATTTATGATTAGCTTTAAAAACATTCATTTAGTTGAGCAAAGGTTAATAACTTATCAGGCCTGTGTTCAAAATAAACACAAAAAAGAATTAAGAGTCATATTTATTGATCATGTTTTCTAAATAATATACATATGCTTAACATTAATTCTTGAACATTTCAGAAAAGCACTGCTCTGTTTAAAATTTTTATATACACATTTCTCTTTTTAAAGTATTATATCCTGACAGAATAACTCTTCTCTTCTTTTTATAAATGTAGTGAAAATGTAAAATTCCAATTTTCAAAACATAACATACAATACTTATTCAAAGCATGTTTTTGACATCTTTGTAATATATAAATATTATAAAATATCCAATATTACACTACTTTAAGAAATAAGATGTTAAAATGCTATACAATGCAATTTATCATATGGTCATATAATTACTAACCAAAACTATTTAGAAATAAATGAAGCAAAATTTCACACTTTCAGCAGTTCTGTTACTTACAATCATTGACAGTCCCTCATAAAATAGGCATACATACTTTTGCACTAAAATTCCTAATGCATATGAGAAAGCTGGGACACTGTGAATGCATAAAGTTGTGTATTAGCAAAATATGGGCTTGTACATATGCACACACAAATATTTTAGCTGTATGTTAAGCAATATGAAGATCCATTTTTTCAGTTTGTACACAATCAGCCAAAACAGGAAAAAAATATCTTAAGAAACCGATCCTTATTTTGTTTTTCCAACTTGTAACTCATGTTATAAAACAATAAAAGCAAAAATAAAACATATATATCTTAAACATCAACCGGGACTCTTTCAAGAGGCTTAAGTAAAAAATACTACCATGTATAGGGCATTATAAAAAGTACGTAGCTTGGCAAAATGTTATTGGTCAGCAAACGTTATACATTGCAAAAATCAAGACAATTATAAAGGATTCTCCCAAGTCTTTCTGTACAGAACATGGGTACATTCGCAAGGGGCTAGAATTATTTAGAAAAAGAAATATCAGATTCCACGACAGTACAGGGCCAACCCAATTCAATTATAGAATTATACTTTGGATTTCAGTGGGATAATGCATTCTCTCTCTTAACAAAGTTTGAAATTGCAGTGAACTGATTTGCATCACTTAAGTTTAAACTAGCAGGGAAAAAAAACAAAACCAAAAAGCCCAACCAAACAGAATGGAGGACTGTAACTTAACCTGACAGATTTTCTTTATTATAGCCATATATTAAACTCTCATTCTGAATTAAAAAAAAAAAAAAAATTAAAAATGTTACTATTCTCCAGAAAAACTCTGACAATGTATTTTGAGTAAAATATTTCAGGCATCTGATTTGTTTGGGTGACTAGCACCACTGCTAACTAGGGCATACTGTATTGAATATTGTTTTAGTATGCTAGGTTAATTAATAAAAGGAAAAATAGTTTGTTCTTCACAGGTGTTACTAAATCTAAGTAGTGGATTTATACAAAAATGTGTAGAACACCTAGTCACTAATACCACAGGTAATTTAAGAAACTGGAAGCATCTCAGTTTTCAATTAATATCAGTCTTCCTAAAGCACAGAAATGTATGGCCATGATGAAAAAGGAGTGACGATACTCATTTCAGGTGACTGTTGAACTATAACATCTGTTAAGTAGAAGCATTTCACTATTCCATCTTAGCAAAAGCTTGTTTAAATTACAATGGAAAAAAAGATAAAAACATTTAAAAGCAAACCAACTGTATTAATGAACAAAAATCAAGTATGGGCATACACATTTTTTCCAAATATACATGCCAATGACAAAATACTGAAAATAGCAATAAGGTTTTTTTGGTTTATGTTTTTGGTGTTTTTTCTTTGTATGTCAGGTTGGTTGTGTTTGAGGCTTAATCTCGCTTTGTTTACTGATATAACTGCCTTTATTTTTTTATATATCTATACATATACATATATAAAAGAACTGACAGCATTTTGTAAAAATTCATCCATTTTCATGCTTCTGTAAAATTCTGGAGATACATTGGTTTATGGAGACACACTTAATTATTTCTTCAATATGAAAGTAACAGAGTAATTTCTTAAAAACAGAAAAAAAAAAGAAATACAGGCATTTGGAATTTGTATTGAATTTCCAGTGGCTGATAACTAATTTATTGACACACTCTCAATTGCTTTGCAAGAACTTTTAGGCAAAATCACTTCTTAAAGAAAGTTGGACAGAGCTCAACAATTCTGATTTATTACGTGGCATAGAATAATTTTTTAAAACTTTGGCAAGTGTTTTGCATTAGGCAAGCACTCAAATTTAGTAGTGATTAGGCTTCTGGGAATTAGATGTATAAAGTGATTAGAAATCGTAAGATGAATTTACATTACAGAGTTTCAATTTTTGAGACTGAAACATGCGTACTGTAATTGAAGCTTTCCTGAAATTGCAGCTTGACTGCTGGCAAGGTCATAGAAAAAAGCCAGCCAGAATTTCTACCACACACCACTTCGAAGACTTGCAGGGTTTTTTTAAGCTCTATCTTGAATAGTATAGTCCAAGCCATGGTGAAATTCTCTGTTGTCTCAAATACTATTTTCTTTCCTATTACTTATGAGACAAAGAATGGAAGACTATATTTACAAGTAAAAGAGTGTTTGTTTTTATTTAAGCTTCTAGAACAGTTGTTTAAGAAAACAGATTTTAAGTCATTAAAAACTATCTTAATTTTAGAAATAAAATTCTGTTTGAGCCATATTAGAGTTGTAATATTTTCTGGAAGTCCAAGAAAATACTTCTTCCTTGTGCTGCTCACCAGAATTGATTATACTGTGAGAGGCTGCACAACATATTAAAAGGTGCAGAGAGGTGCTCAAAGCATCACACTTCAATGCTTCATATTTTTGAGTAAGAGTGAGGATATAGCTGTATCATGGCAGTATCGAATACACATAGAATACATCTGCACAGTGTTCCAAAAGGTCTCTGAGTCCTCTTTCAATGAGTTCATGAATTGTCCCATGCAGAGCTATTTATAAATGACAGAAGTCACACCCTTACATATATACACTAAAGAAAGTCAACACATACATCCTAGATAATAAATATTGTACTGAGACAGTTAACTTAATTCTCAGTACCTATTAGCTTACGTATATATAGATGAGTAGAAAGAAAAGGCAGAAAATGAAATACCATTTGAAAACAGAGGTAGAGACATGAAAGCATATAAAGAACATAATTTAAATGTGAAGATGAAACTGCATTTACAGCTTACTGATTTCTAGTTTCTCACTACAGGGCTTGCCAAACAAAGGAAATCTTGATAATAACATTACCCACATTAATTTACTATTAATACTAAGCTAATACTGAGTTTCAGTTCTGCATATATTAATATTGGTGCTTTTAAATCACTGAAATTAATGTGATGACAAAACTAATTTGCTTAAGCCAATATTTTAATGCACTTTAAGAAAAGGTGGTAACTTTTCTGAATGGTATTAAATAGCTGAATACCTTCTGAAGCTAAAATGAGCAACAGAGAACACTGCAAGGCCCCATTCTGCTGAACAACATAAAAGACTGACTAGACTTTCACCAGTATCAGAGATGAGCCTTTCTAAACAGACCACTTGCTTTGCTAAACATATTGAGGCTTCTTTTCATCTGCTATGAGCTCCTTTAACCTGTAACTTTGGCAAATGATTCTCATCTCAGCAGTGACTGTATAAATACATTACACATTTCAAAAATAAAATTTGGAAGAAGAAATAATCAAGGATTAATAATTAATTTACAAAACATACTGTAAAAAGGCTACTTTGGTGACTTCAGTGGTCTAATTTTACTTGCTACCTTTTCACTTCTGAAAAAGAACAAATAAAATACATTTCATCTTCTTTGCATTTGGCTTTGCTTTTGTGTAAAAGAATACATGTGGCATAGGGCAAGACAAAAAGACTAAAGAAGTTAGCATATATAGATGGAACGCTTGCTTACAGGTGTTTAGAGGTAATTTATCTGCATTTATGACTTGTCTTTGAAAAAGGAAAAAAGTGTGGTAAGTGTGACATAAAAGGAAGATTATTTCTTGTTCTGTCTAGGGACAAGAAGGGGTAAGGAGCTTAAAGCAACCAGCAGGCACCATTTGGATCATCAGAGCAAGTCTGGATGGAGGGAAAGATTTAGGATGAAGATTACAGTAAAATGGAGAAAGAAGAATCAGGACCTTCTCTTTCCTCAGAACTTGTCACACTAACACGGAACTACTACCAGACCTGGTGCTGTTTTATTGAAATACCAGAAAGCTCAAGTAAGTAACCATACACAGGCATCGAAACAAGTAAGACGACATGGGTCTGAGATTCGTGTCAAAAAATCCCAAGTGTTAGAAGGAAATAAAATGTCACCTTTTGATTTTGGCCTATTTTGGGATTTGGAAAAATATCACCAAAACTACAAAGCCATCAGAAGGCGCGAGGTAACTTCATAATTTCCTTAAGAACCAGAACACTGCTGAAAATTTCTGCAATGTTGAATGCTGCTGTTTATCCCCCAAAGTCTTCTATTTGCATTCCACTTTTGAAGTACATACAAAGAAGAGTTAATCATCAGCTACAGAGTTAATAGTGTTCATAAAACACAGTTTTGCATCCATATTAAGACTATATCCAACACCGGTGAAATGAAACAAAATTAAAACACTGGTCTGGCACCAGAATTAAGTCAAGGGCACATGGGGGACAGGATATAGTATACATATTCTTAAGGAATGCTGAACTTTTGCCATGGGATAAAAAGTATAGAACTGTCTCCAGTAAATAATGGCTTTTTTTTTTTTGGTCCTCACAACTTGTAAACATACCTGCATCTTATTATTTGTTGCAGAATGGTGACTGGTTTGATTCTTCACTTATGTTCTAAAATGAGAAAAGCTTATGAGAAATTGTTGACTAGATGAAGAAAGACAGTGATTTAAAATATTATTTATTATTATTTACATCAAATGAAAAATGTAGAGTTATTTTCTCATATTCTGGAGTATAATAAGGTTCATCTAGGTGACGACTTGCCTTAAATGGATGATATAAAGAAGAAAGGCTCATCAGAAGGGATGAAGGCATTTTAAGAAACCGGTGAAGGTTTCTTAAGGAAGGAAAGACTTGAGGGAATTGGTGGGTGAAAAACTGAATATGATCCGGCAATGTGTGCTTGCACCCCAGAAAGCCAATTGTGTCCTTGGGCTGCATCAAAAGAAGTGTGGCTAGGAGGTTGAGTGGTGATTCTCCCCCTCTACTCTGCTCTCATGAGACTCCACCTGGAGTACTGTGTCAAGCTCTGGTGCCCCCAGTGTAAGACAGATATGGACCTGCTTGAGTGGGTCACAAAGATGATCAGGAGGCTGGAGCACCTTCCCTATGAAGGGTCCAGGGAGATCTTATCGCCATCTTCCGGTACTTAAAGGGGGCATACAGGCAAGAGGGGTAGGGACTCTATCAGGGACTGTAGTAATAGAACAAGAGGTAATGGTTTTAAACTGGAAGAGGGTAGATTTAGATTAGATGTTAGGAAGAAATTCTTTACTGTGAGGGTGGTGAGACACTGGAACAGGTTGCCCAGAGAGGTTGTGGATGCCCCCTCCGTGGAAGTGTTCAAGGCCAGGTTGGACAAGGCTTTGAGCAACCTGATCTAGTGGACAGTGCCCCTGCCCATGGCAGGGGGCTTGGAATTAGATGATCTTTAAGGTCCCTTCCAACCCAAACCACTCCATGATTCTATGAAATCTACCAAGTCTTTATAGTCTGAAGAACTCATATCCCATATTTAAAAAAAAAAAAAAAAAAAAAAAATCCTCCATTTAAGCTAATACTTTCAGATCTGTAGTCTTGAAGTCAGGTTCTATTTAATCACTTCAAAGTAAAACCTCTTATTAAAAAATTATGAACATTTCCATTTTTTTGGTTGATCAGCATTTCTGAACTAAAATCAGTCATTTTCACTAGAAGAATGTGAATTTACAAATCTGACTTCGGACATTCAGTTTTGCAGATTTTGAATACAACGTCTGGGACCATGATTAATGAACAGAAGTTAAAGACTCATGAGAGGTTAATTATCTACTGAAAAAGCTGAAATTAAACTGGCTCCAATGAAAACATTAATTGGAAGTTCTATATGTGAAAGTTTTACTCTAGATTTTCAAGGAAGAAATTCTAAAACCTTTGCCCATGCTTCAATAGCTAAACACTTCATAGAATCAAAGAATGTTTCAGGTTGGAAGGGATCTCAGAAGGCAAACAGTGCAAACTCCTGCTTAAAGCAGAGTTAACTACAAGATCACACATCTTTCCATCTACGTAACAAAGTTCTGCAATGGCCATCTCTGATTCCATCTGCTTCCTGGACAGGCTGCTACAACACCAGCTACCTGTAAAACAACTGAAAGCTGGAAGGAAAATTCAACTAGCATACAAAGAAGTAGCAAGATTTTCTGAAGAAGGTGATGTGGAGAAATGCCAGGGCAGACTCAGCCTCCATGTATAACCATACCTTTCCTGAAGACAGAAAGTGCTGAAAATAAGGCAGTCAGCAAAGGGTTTACCTATAGATTTCTCTGAAACTGTAGCCAGAAGGTATCACCTTTCTTAGCTCACTTCTGAGGCAAGTGCCAGTAAAGCAGCCCAAGACAAAGAAATGACAAGAGAGAAATGAGAGCTGCACGCTCATATAGATATCGGGGCATTGCAAGGCTTCAACTACAGGTATCTTCCTTCATGGGGAGAAAACTACCTCTGCTCTTTGGTAGAAACAGCTAGAAAACCAACATCTTAAGATATGCTACTTATAACACTGCAACATAGTCTGTAACAGTAACCTTAGTCATCTGCATGGTGACTAAGTTCCTAGTGAAAGTAAAATTTATTATTTCAAATCAATTCTTTATCTCAAATGTTAAGTCTACTTCCTTCAATCTACAACATAATACTTTGGGTGGCAAAGTTCTTGGGTGATACTCTAAGACAGGAAGAACCATGTGAAAAGTATGTGTAAAAGAAGAAATGGTAATTCATAAGGCTTGTTTTTTGCCAGGTTCAAAATTACTTGTATTATATATTACCCTGATAATTTTAATAAAATTGTGACCTGTCTGCTATTAAAAAAAAATTAGCAACACTGGAGTTCTAAATCACAATTACCTGTAATAAAATGCTATCCTTTTAATTTCTTAAATAGAGTTGTTATATCTTTCATTAAGATACAGTATATTCTGACATTGGGAAGATAGTTTATTTCTCTGCAAATTCTAAGAACTAAGCTAACATTTCATTTCTTGGTAAAAAACAATGGATTTTAGATTTATTGAGTCCATATTTATAGTGTGTGAATTTATCATGAATAGATGTCGCTTCATTAAAAGAGAAGTTAAACAGTTCACTGTGGTTAAAACTGTTCAACATATGCACATGCGTATCTCCAAATATTTGTAGTCGTATTCATATGCACCTGTATATATACAGGTAATATATTTAAATTTTAAGATGTAGAGCCAGTCAATAAATCACAGTATTATAAGTTATACACTGTATTTAGTCTGTGTCTTAACTTCATTAGCAGCAGCTCTGTTCGCTAATCCATCCCTCCAGAATTTAACATTCCAAACATGGAATTGTGGTTAAAAAACAAAACAAAACAAACAAACCCCAAACCAACCAACCAAACTTAAAAAAAAAAAAAAAAAAAAAAAAAAAAAAAAAGGAAAAAAAACCCTTAACAACTTTACAAATAAGTTTTCTCGAGAAGTATTGTGGACAAGCTATATCAAGTTCAGGTACAAGACAGGAAGTATTTAGGCATGTCACTAAACAGCTCTGCAATCTAGTTTCTCAGGATCTTACTGACTTACCTAAAATTAGCTTCATTTAATTGCAAAGGGGAAAACCACTTTTCATTGTAATAGAGAACACTCATTTCCCATTGGGTTAAGAAGTATTGGCATAAAATCCAACATATTATGAGCAGAAAAGCCATTAAAAATACAAATCTCTTCAGCTTTTTCTCTCTATCTCAGGCAAAATCATTTTCATGTCTAATAATTGAGAAACTAATCCTATAAAATTAGGGCTTTTCTTTTTAGTATTTTCTTATAAATTATCTAGATTATTTTTTATGTAAAAGTATCACATATACAGAGAAAAATAATATAGTAGCAAATATTAGAAATCATGTACAATGGCTTATGCACAGTTTCATCCATCTAAAGCAGTCTGATGATTCCAAACTCATCCTGTTCAAACACATCTTCATATAAACATTCTGTTTACGTCACTATATACAAAGTAAAGTAATTGCATACAGTTACCAAATTACTTTATAGGACACTGAATCCTGCTAGTGTAGAAGGACGAAACAATCTTTTCCCATATAGAACAGGTGAGAAACTAAAGTCTATCCTATATAGGATAGAGAGACAAGACAAAATTTTACTAATATTCACTTATTTCTTTCTTCATCTTTTTCTTATTCAATACAATGGAAAATAATTTTCAATCCTGTATGAAACATATTTCACATTCTCCTTCAGGGCAACTTTTTTAAAAATTAAAATTGTTCTGGAAAATGTAATGAACTAAAGAATACCAGACCAATAATACCTTGTAAATATATTTTGCATTGCCCATAGATTTTGAAAGAAGTCAGTGTAAAACAGGCAAAAAGCTGCCAAAAATAACAGAAAATGAAATTGTAGAAAACATCCCAAGTAAATTATTTTTGTATTTTCAAGTTCTTACAGGGAAGATTTTAAAGTATCTAATATAGGGTCTAAAAAACAATCAACATTTTTGGTTTTATTTTATATACATAAAAGTAGGAAACATTCAGTTAATCTGTGATTTTTAGTAACGCTAAAGATTTACAAAGATTAAAATTCAGAGATCTTTAACTAAAACCTAAAAGCGTATTATCACCTCATACAGTAAAGAAAAGTTTATGAAAGAAACACATTAGAGTGTGGCATTGAAACTTATAAAACACCGTCTAAAAGAACTGCTGAGAAACATGGAACACATAAATAGAAGGAAAAAGAGGACCAGCAAATTATTAAAGGGTAAAATAACATTTTCTCAAAGAACATGTTATGTTGACCCCTTGCAGCTTTAAAGTTTTAAGACTTCTAAGGAGCTGCTGTGACTCTCTATTCCCAACCAAAAACTCACTTGTTTGATGCGGTCTGGATTAACAGTGGTCTGAGGCTGTAGAATGCTGACAGGCTCTGTCTTGGCCACATTTTGAGGCATTTCTCGAATCTTCTCTGCAATGAAGCCATGAACTGCATTAAGTGCTTCAACTGTTCCCTGGATCAGACACACCCGCTCTGTAGTACCTGCAAATACCAAAAGTTGATCTGAATAAAGTGGATTCTTCAAGGTCCCACAAACTGCTTAAATTATGGCACAAAGATGGCACTGAAAAAGCAACCTTGTAAAACCAACTAGCAATACCTCCATAAAGATACAAAGGAGAGTTTTCCAAAAGTTAATATACTGATGATCTAAAGATGATTTAAGCAACTCCTATTTGTGTAGATCCTACAAACACATAACTTTCCAAGCCAATCTAGATAATATATGTTAGAAGAAAGAAAAAAAAAAAAGGTAACGAAAAGCATTACGTTTTGTTGGAAATACTAGCAAATACGATAAGCGTGTGCAGAATACGTCTTTTAAATTATTTTGGCCTAGTTCTAAATTATTCTAAAATATTGTACAAATTTTCAGTAACACAAGGTTGAACATAACAGCCGCTATTATAGAGGCACCTGGAATAAGCTTTTGTAATGAGCACCTGAACTGCAAATACATTCAGTTTAGGGTAGACAATATTAGATTATTTCTTAAAACAGCTGCAAGTTGTTACGGCACGACCTTTCAAGACCAACTGATCTTATATACTTGAGTGTCCACTTTTTCTTTTGTAACCTTCCCACCTTACATCATCCCTGCAATAACTGCAATTATTTACTGAATACACAGAGTTTAAGATGCCTTTAATATGACTTAGCAGTTGGAAATTCCAAAAGCTTGTACCAAATAAATAGTCAATACCCCACAAATTACATTTCAAGAACTTCTGTTTAGAGTTATGCTGAATACCGTTCATGCAGGATATCTAGACTCCACATGACTACCTTCTAAGCATCCATGTTCTAAGATCATGGGAAAATACACTTGTCAAATAGGTCTGATAGGTGAAATACATATTTATTCTATGTGTAGGAATACTAGGCCTTTGGTCGCAATGAAACAGAGGTGGGAACACTTTCCCATCATACTCATTTGTAAAGATAGGAGAGATGCTTAAAAAGACTCCTTGAAAGTATTCCTCTTTCACAAACTCTGCAGGAATGTGTAACCCTCTGTTTCTTGTCATTTCAGTTTTGCCTGGGTTTCAGTTCTAACCATTCTATTCTGCTCAGTATCGTTTAGATTAATTCTCCTCTCCAGTCGGAAGACATGCTTTTTCTTGTATTGGCTGTAGCTCCCTCTCCCTTGCATCACCATTACTTACTCTCACCTTTAATTTAATTGACTCTTTAACGACTTGCCTATCCCTGTAGCCTGGAGAAAGAGTCTGCTGTCCCATGTTTATCTTGTCTTTCATATACTACCTCACAGAATTTACAATTCTATGCACATTACCAACAAACATTAAATAACTACCATAGCTTTAGGTATAATTCTCTAGAAAGGCTTAGACAAAGCCTACATTGCCACATAACCCTTTTCCAAACTGAACTGTGCTGTTTGTGTTATAAAACCCACAAGAGTCCTTATTTCGTTGATTTATTAAAAGCATCTACAGGATGGCCAAAGATGGATGCAGAATTGTAGAAAAATACTCCATTTGTTTTTTGTGACTAAGGAGGTTTTAGATGATTTTGTATGGCTCTACTGCATAGCAAAAAAGCTTTTTTTACATATTGGATTACAGCTTAATACATCCTCACTGGACAAAGAATAGAAAAAACCCAGTATCAATTCTAAAGATACAAGCATGACAATGCACTGAAACTATCCACATTCTGTATTCCAAATATCAACCCCTTAAACAGGTTCCACAAAATCAGTTTTGACTTGAAAACCAGGATCTAACAGGAGTTCCAAAAATGAAACTTGAAAGGGAGTATTGTAGTTTCTACTTCTGTTCTGCAGAAATAACAAAACAATACAACCTAGATGTCCGAGTAAAATTGCTTTGAAATTTCATGTAGTACATACTTCCACAAGCACATTCTCTACATTTCCAAGATACTCAAATTAATATTTCATCAACATGCTTTTATCTTCAAATACCAGTAGAACAGTTCTACTAACAGAAAGAAATTATAACATGAACTATCACGATATTAGTGTATTCCTGAAAACATAATAATAGTGCCATGCAATGATATGACAGATACATATCTCCGTTCAATGCCAGTGTGAGTTTTGCTTCAAGATTATGGGGTGGGGGGGAAGCAAATAATAAATTTGAGCCGTGGAATTACCAGGAAAATAAATGCAATTTTTGTCATTGATGTGTTGCTAGTAAATATTATTGACATGATCAAATATGAATCTTTTCTGATGAAAAATTCATTCACTCTACCTAAATAAATTAAAATTAGAGAAATGTACCAGGGAGGTAAGTAACCTCCTCCCTAAAATTTCCTTCCTATCAATTTTATGTCTTTAGTAATATCTGTTATCAACTCAAGATATGCTCCTTACAACACTGCAATGTAGTCTGTAACAGTAACCTTAGTCATCTGCATGAAAAAATTGGTTTTTATTAGTAAATGCTTCTCATTTGCTTCCATGGATGATCTATCTCTAAAGATTAACTATTTCATCACCTAAAGATGAAACAGCACATTAAGAGCCCTGCCTGCTCATTAACTTAACGTATTCACGTAGACCTAAAGTCTTTCAAACACGTTTTTCTTAAGAAACGGTATCAGGCAATACTGAAATTCAACTTCGTGGAAGAAGTGCTACAGCAAAACTGACAGAATGAGAAAAAAACCCATCTTTTCTCTATTAAAAGACGTTATTTAAAAATAATTACAATTAGGATTAAAACATGTCAATCAGTATTTCAAAAGCTGTCAGGTTAATAACCCTTGAGATAAAATATAAAGTTAAAATGGTTACATTCTTAACAGCAAGTTATACAAGTAGCACAACCAAATGTGTATTTGTCAAGAGCCAGATTTTTAGAACATCTATGTGACCTGTTACAGTGTCTTTTCAACAAATCAACTTCAAAATACAGCTAATTTTTTCCCCCCAAACACCCTATCAAACCAAGGAGTTTAAATAACAGCAGTGGAAGTCACCACAGAAAATTGAACTTGGTTCCTAGACAAAGCTTTCTTAATGCTTTTTCTTCCTACTTGGATTCCTTCCCCTTCTGCAAACAACTCCTGTGGTTTCTGTGTAAAGCAATCCAGCTCTAAGAAAATGCTCTGGGGAGTCTTTACGCCGCAGTATTAATTGTCTCCTAAATGATGAGATGTGATGTGGATTGATCAATGCAGCTAATGCAAGCGTTCTCTAGGTCAGCAGACAACACACTGAAACAAAACACAGATCAGGTTACGTCCAAGCTACCAGAGCCTAATACAGAAAGCACTTAACAGGGATGACTACTGTCAAAACATTTGAAAGGAAAACAGTCGATGCTAAATAGGAATTTCATTAGACTCGACACTAAGTGGCTGAAGGGTATTCTACGATCTGCGTTATTTTAGAAGGTGCAATATAATAAAAATATGCTTGATGTCAGATTACGGAGCAAACACACTATGTTTTAGTATGTATAAACCAGGATGCAGTAAACGGAAATCACTGTTCCGTAAAGAAATACAACTGTGCAAAAGCGTGTTTCACGTAGAGTAAGATACAGTTTTAAGCGCATCACAATAGTAGCACATTTTCTTTGAGGGTTACATCAACAAAAAAAAGTTTAAAAAAGTGTGTGGAAATTGTATATATGTACAGTTGGGAATTGCTTTAATCTACTGAAGTGATGTTGTTGTATTCCTTCACACAACTTTAACAGCTTTCCACTCAGATAACAGAGTACAATAATTTACAAGAGTCACACAAAAAGCTGCCAGCTATATGAACAAACTGTATAACAAAAATAAGCCCATGAATCACTGAAGTTGGTGAAATTTCTGTCATTTTAAAAGCTTTTAGGCTCCATTAGTGTCTAAAGTAAACTGTCAGATTATTTATCATTTTCAGTTGTTTAACAGTTGCATCCACTATTTTTTTCACGTTTCTGCAAACAAAAGCTCAGCCATCTATACGCATACTTTTTGTCATATGATTTTCAAAATATGTATTTAAAACACAGATCTCATTTTTCAAATAGCTGACTTAGAGAAAGCCAAATTACCAAATAATTGGTGCCTTTTTTTTGTGCAATCATAGCCAATATAAAATTATTATATATTTTTAATTATTTACAATTAAAATCTGAGTTAGGGTCATGTATTGTACATTATCTTTTACATATGAAGAGATAAAACATATACAAGAGGAGTAATTCTGCCACAGAAAATGACCAAATGTAGAGTAGGTGGTCATCATCCCTGTACATTCAAAAAACCAGAAAAAATATTTTTATGTATGTTCAAGAATACCAAAATCTATGACAGAAGTTTGCATGTGGTTGCAAAATAGGAAAACCACTATCTAAATACATGCTGCTGATGATGTTGCCACAATCGTTTCATGTTTACTTTTCTAAGTAAATGACTCAGTATTTGTATGTGCTCTACTTTTCAGAGAGTAAAATGTGGTTTCTTTCCTCTTATATCAGAATTAAAATTCAATTTGCACATGTATGTTTCAACTTTTTCTTATCAAAGAAGAGGCCCCTGCCTGTACTGCTCATCAAAAATAGATTTTTAAAACTAATGGAGAAAAAAAGAAATCTTCACCTTTTTTGTTCTGTTTAGCTTTTAGGGGGAAATTTTTTGGGCCTAGTTTTTTAACATGGCATGGGAAGTGGAGGAGTCCCCATCCCTGTACGTATTTAAAAGTTGCGTAGATGTGGTGTTTAGGGACATGGTTTAGTGGTGGACTTGGCAGTGTCAGGTTAACAGCTGGATTCAATGATCTTAAAGGTCCTTTTCCAAGCTAAATGATTCTATGATTTTATGATACAAAATTACTCTTTTTCTCTGTAGTTCCATAGGAGATGGAAACATGAAACCATTAGCAGCCATCAGGCAATTTAAAAGTAAGTCTATAAAAACTTGTTTTGAAATCTAGTAAGTTAGTTAGGCCTAAAAGCTAAACAGCTTGCAATAACTTTATTTTAATCATTCAT